GTCTCTCTCCGATGACTAAACCCAACCCAGGTAGAGATTTTGGACAAACCAGTCGCTCCAGACAAACTGAAGAACGCACTAAGTACTCATGACCAACAATGAGTCACCATGTTTAGATTATTTTTTTAAATGATCTCCAAAATCCTGCTCAATTCCCAAATTATCACCATATGAATATTGCCGTGATAACACTCATCCCTAAACCAAACAAAGACCCAACACACTACCACACTACTCCAACTACAGCCCTATGGCCATAATAAACACCAATGTTAAAATCACAAGCAAAGCATTTGCATCTAGACTACAGTCTATAACCGTCATTCTAATCATTCTAACCCTGGATGCTGAAAAGGAGTTTGACAGGGTAGGGTGGTAATTTACTTAAAATTTTGTAAAATACACCCTCAGCATCTGTTATCACTTATGGACAGATATCTAGAGCATTCAACCTAAATAGAGGAACTAGACAAGGATGCCCATTATCATCATTACTCTTTGCACTTTTTATAGAACCACTCAGCTCAGCCATTTGATAGAGTAACAACATTACAGGCATTATATTACATTTAGCTAACGCTTTTATCCAAAGCGACTTACAATAACTGCATTCAACCTAGGCCTGGGCCGATAATCAATAAATCAATTAATCGCAGGATAAATTAAAATGAACTCAATTATTTTGCCGGCCTCGATATATTGCCATGTGCATGCGTGTTTGCTTTCCTCGTCTCTCGCCTCCAAACAGGCTGGATGACAAGAGGGTTCACTCTGTGCTCGGTCTCAGCACCTGGGGGCGTTTGTTGCGGAATGAACGGAGTGAACCCTCTTGTCAGTCATCCAGTCTCTTTGTCTCTGTGGGGGGAGGCGGGGCCGCTAGCATTGGCTACACACACAGAGTGCAGCAAGTGAGCGTCGTGCGGAGCAACGCAAGGAAAAAAGATTATTGCAAAGCCAAATGTCACAGCCCCGATGTGGGAATATTTCGGCTTCAAAATGAATGAGCAAGGTGAGCCCATCAACATGGACGAGCCAGTATGCCGAATTTGTTCATAAGTGGTGGCAACAAAAAAAGGCAACACAACAAACTTGCATGCCCACCTAAAGCATAACCACCCCACCCAGTTTTCCCAGCTGGGGAAAAAAACTGCACCTCGAGATGCAGAGCCTTCGTCCCGACAGTCAACACTCACTGAGGCGTTTGGTCGACAAAGAAAATATGAATGGAACAGCGCAAAAGCCATTTTATTTATTGTTTTGGTTGTGTGTGGTTTTATATTTGAGTGCTGCTTTTCTTAACAAAGACGGGGTCTGTTTTATTGTTTTTGATTGTGATTTTAATTCAAGTGCAATTTTTGACAGAGACTGAGAGTCCATTTTATTTTTTGTTTAATGTTTTTTGTTTGTTTTATTTCTTTAAGATATTTAAACATTCTTGAAATTACAATTGCAATGGTAAAAAACACTGAGAAATAAAAGTTTATTGCATTTGAAAGGGTGTGCATTCAGCAATAATTTGTGGGACAATATATCGTCCAGCAAAATTTGTTATCTTCCCAGGCCTTATTCAACCATGAGGGTACAAACCCAGAACAGCAAGAATAAAGTAAGTACAATGTAAGTGCCATGTAAGTGCAACAATACTGAAAGTAGCACACAAGTACGAGTGTCTTAAAATGGATGTGGGCAGCCACTGGTAGCCAGTGAAGAGAGCAGATGAGCGAGTAACGCAAGTGAACATAGGTAGGTTGAAGACTACATTCAGGATCAGCTTTCAGAGGTCTGATGGCACTAGCAGGTATACCAGCCAGGAGGGAGTTGCAGTAGTCTAGGTGTGAGATGGCCAGAGCCTGGACCATTGGCAAAGTTACTGGCTACTCCATTAACTGGGCAAAGTTCAAGACTCTACACAAATTTACAAAAATATCAATTTCATGGCTTACAATGCCAACCTGCAACTTATATAAGGCTGGGCGATAAAACGATATTGCTAATTATTGCAATATAACTTTTCCATGATAAAAATGTAAGACATGGATATATCGTCGATAGAACTAATCCCGTGAACATTTTGACGGACAACACAAACAGCCAATGATGATGAGAATAGCGCCACGCCGAACTAATCATGTGGTTGGGATAGTTACACCGACATCAGGTCGTCCTGTGTTGGAGTCTCTGGCAGAGTCTGCTTCCTCCTCACCTCCCCTCTGACACCATCACTGATCACTTCATGTTTGTTTGATTCACTCTGGAGTTTATGAGAATAAAATGTAGTGGATTGTATAAAATGTTATAAGTGCAGTGGCACAGGATGATTGTTCGAGCAAGTAAAAATCTGTTTGTACATACGGAGAACACTGTACATAAACACAAATGTGCAAAAAAGAACTGATTTGATTTATATTGCGATATATAGCTATATCAACTGATAAAAATAAACAAAATTTAAATTGTTTTATTTACACCAGAAAACTGTTCACATTGTACACAGAATAACCCAATAACTATATTCATGCCACCTGGCACTGCACACATTTAACACTTTTGGAAGAACACCACAGAGTCATTGTCCCTCCTCCTGGGCTGCAACATCCCACTACCCCAGATTACATCTCCATGGAAAATACACCCTATTCCACCCATAACACTACACTGGATATAAATGAATTACTTCATAAATACAGGTATAAATGATAATATTATAATGGAAAAAGGTCAATCAAGTACATTTACATTTAGGGTGGGTTGACAGTGGTCTACCCGATGTTTTTTGAATCTATTTATATATTTATTTATACATAGTGGGGGTTTTTTTGTTTTCTGTGTTTCTTTTATGTATTTGTACTTTCAGTAATTGGGATGATGGTAATAGTATGCTAATTATATTATTATGGCGATTACAACAGTAATAGTAACTATTATAAATTATAAATTGAATTATTGATAACACAAAATTCAACACAGCCAGATACACAACTGTAACTTCTCTGTGTCCTTGTCTGTATGTCTTTTATGTTTATCTGCATGTGTGCTTCCATTGCTACTCTGTCCCCTTGTCTTGATGTGTCACCTTATTTCACTAATAATTAAAAGAAAAACAACAACAAAGAAAGTATTTTCTTCAGGTCACACAGAAAAATGTCCCAGTCCAGGAGTCCAGAACATTATCTTTCCTTATGGGTACATCCACATATTTGTGGAGAGAGAGCAGAACTCCCTCTATAATCTGCAGCTATAAAAGTCACCAACCATGAACACCGGGGTTTCTGGGTATTTGGCCTGCATGAGCTACTGCATCCGGTAGGATGTAGATAAAGATGATAACCACAAGGGCTGTAATAATACTCCAAATCTACGGTTTGGTTCAGTCCTTAGTTTTTGAGCCACTGTTGGGTTCATAACTTGTTTTGTTTTTTTGAGGGGTGATGTGGTGGATGTTTAAGAAAAAGTGGGGGGGAGTTGGTCAGTCAGGTGGGTATAAATCAGCCAAGAGCTCCAGGGAAACTCCACAGGGAATAAGTCAAGTCAACTTTATTATCAATAATGCCATATGTGCAGGACATACAGAGAATTGAAATAGCGTTTCCCTCTAATCCCCGGTGCAAACAGCATTAAACATGAAATAAAATATAAAAACATATAAGTAATTAAAAGACATAAACAGGCAGTGGCAAATCTAGATGATATAAAGAGTATAAATATGGCAGAT